GGACGAGATGGAATATAAATGGGAAGCGGGTTGGATGAGGTTTTCAGCAGTCTACAATACTCACGGTGCATCATATCAATACTGTTATATCCATCTGATTGATACGCCTTTCCAAATTCAACTTCTTTTGACCAACCAAACGTCATGTCCGCTACTTCGACTATCACCTCCACCACCAGAGAATCAACTGTTGTGCATCCTATTGTAGTACAATTTATCGGTCGTCTTGGCACTGAGGTGACTGATTCTGGGGGAGATTATCCTATCAGTATTTCAAATCATTGATACCTTGCCTGTGTTTGTTTAGGTCCCTAACGCACGTCGAAATGCGCTTGGTTTTGTTTCCCATGAGACTATGATTTCGACATCTGGCTTTGATCGAACCTCCCCGTACAATACCGCCATCCTCTTGACTGCGCCCAAGGGTGCCATCGATAAACTTCACCAGGGCGATGTGTACGCCATCAGTTGTAAGTTGATCAGTTCAAACAACCGCAGGCTTGATGATCTCTATTGCGGAACGACTACAATATTGAGGATTGGGAAGAATGATTCTATTGGTGTCGAGTACGAGAAAGATGTCATGAACAAGGTCTTGATGGTGGCTTTGGGGATTATAGTGAAGATGGAGACGGTTCCAAAGGGTGACGGGAAGCGTGGTGGCGAAATAGTGTTGACTTTGAAATCCGTTGATTTTGATCCAATAGTGAGTTGACTGATGGATGGATGGAACTGAGGCGTTCATTTGCTGAGTTTCTTTTCCGCTGATCGCTTAGGACCAGAGCCCAGTGTGCTGGATGACGAAGCATATCATTGAACGGTGTCATCAATCGGATAAGTTTCATTCATTTTGTAAGGAGGGAGCTGAGGTCCAGATCGCGGGGTTGATTGAAGGGTACGATGATAAAGAGTGGGCTTGGGAAACCCGGGTAAGCAATTTTGCACAGTTTGGTGGCGGCTACCGCACTAACATATGCAGTTACAGGTTTACAACATAACCCCGTGTAACAATAGCACACCCAACCCGAACGTCACAGAAAAAGGAAAGAGTGGGGATGCGTGGTGAGTCATATTGCGTTGTTTTTGTCGTCCGGGGAGGTGAGATGGTCAAATGACATTTTGCCTTTTCAGTGACTCTTCCGTCGCGAAGGTCGCATGCCAAAAGGAAGACAAGATGGCCGCAGGGATCAATACAAGCCATAAACGCAAAGCCACCAAGTCGCGCATTTTAGCCGCACGTTGGAATAAGCGGGTGAAGGTCAATGCTGCCCATCGGGCAATGCGTCGAGATCACGGAATTGATTAATAATGTATGTAGTGATCAGCCTGGGGGGCGTAGAAGGATGGGACGTCACGAGGATAATATGTTTGTTGAAATTTAGTGTTGGAGAATATGTGCAATGAGTCGTACTATTACGGCAATACCTTTTGGTTCTTTTCTTGGGTTGTTGTCATGCTGTCTCTCTTTTGGCAATGCAGACATGGTGCTTTGTGGGTTTTTGGTTGCAAGGGGGGCGGGAGTTGTAGACAGCACAAACCGGAATTGTGTGCTGTTTCTGGGGTGTAGCGCGATGTTACATGTGAGTGGGGGGTGGTATGCCCAAAAGGCGTTGTGGTACGAAAGATACCGTGAGGGCGGCGGGCCGCCCACGTTGCTCTAGTAGATTGCAAAGCATAGTCATCACTCCAACCTTTTCAATACCTAAAACCTCCTTTGACAGTCCAAGTCCAACAAGACCATCACCAACGCTCCATCACAACTCAACAAGATTTTACTATAGAAGCCAGGTTAGTCCTTCAAAAAACCATTTCCATTTCAGGCTTCAATTGTTGATTTGCTTTGAAATTGAACAGATCTACCAAAACACCATCACCAAACCGCCTGGACAAAAAGCTCACGCGTTGAAGATGAATCTCACAAGCTGTTTCCTCCTTTACTTAATCAGTATGGAACACCTAGTCAATGGAATGCATTTGGCGCATTGCGTACCGCCAGCAGACATTGGTGACACTGGTACTCCAAGTATTGCCTTGTCGTCCACAACAGCTCCAATGAGTGAGGAAAAAATCAATAATGATCGACACCTTGTGGAAAACTTTGAAGCATATCAAAGCAAATATATGCCAGCTTCAGCCCCACAGGGTTTTAAAGATGCCTTGAATCACCTCCGATTCTTTGCACCGATGTGAAGCGCCATTATTCCGCGGGTGATGTTTTCAAAGCAATCGGGATATACTTTGGTTCCGTTTTTGGTGCTCTTGGTCTTGGTTTTGCGGCATGGAAAGTAATTGACGCCGTTGGTAATCACACGGATAGAATGAGCAAGAAAAAACCATTGCATAGAGTTGCTCCAGTCTAATATCAACTACAATCACGCTGCAAACACAAAATTGTATTAAACAACTTGAAACCATGACTCCCATGAATAAGCATTGTGAAGTCATTTATGGATCAGAAGGGTGTTTGTGTACGGTGGCTCTAAGGAGGACCCCGGAAAGCTACTGTAGAGGGGCATGATGTACATGATTTTATTTTCTTATGTTTGCTGTCTATTGCTGTGTATTTCACAGCCTCTACACCACATTGAAAACTCTTCAAACTTGTGTAGTTATGGATTTCAAACTTAACAAAGCTTTGTGCTCCTGGCTAGGCATGTATGAGGCAGCAGCAAGAGATTTGGTCAAAGTTCCATGACTTCAAACTGTGGTGAAGTGTGTGTAGTGTAGGGAAATATCTTACATCATGCACTTCAATCAGGGTTCTCCTGGGTCCTCTCCAAGGTGCCATTTGAGTCAAAACCACAAACTGTGAAAATTACATCTGCAACATCCTCCAAAAGCCCTGTTGAGCGTATCCCAAGCCTGAGCCTGCTATGAGTCGTACACAGATTCACAAACACGTCAAGAGTTAGTTTGTGATAAAAAGATAAAGCTTAGAATGGATCATTGTTTATTTTGCAAACTAGACACATGTACAAATGTAGATAGAAGAAATAGAATAAGAAAGACTACTATAAAGAAGGAAACATACCTATGAGTCGTACACAGATTCACAAACACGTCAAGAGTTAGTTTGTGATAAAAAGATGAAGCTTAGAACAGATGAAGTTCTAGCTTGGTGCAGACACATAGAGAGCTTTATAGTAAAGATGAAACTGACAAATGAGAGAGTTAAGAGCGCACATATAAGAGTAAATCAAATGAGAAGAGAAACATAACCAATTCATCACGCAGGATGTACACAACTCAACAGTAACCATGAAACATAACCTAGCAACCATGCTCAATCATTTGAATAAGTCTTATAGTCCAACACCTGATGCACTGGACAACACCTTCTCCATTGTCACTTCCCATGTGTGGTCAGTGTGTATTCTGACACAGCCAACTCAATCACCACTTCCATTTCATTGTTGCTTTATATTGGCTACAAAGTGTTGCTTTGAGTTGGTAAAATTAATATTCTATTGGAATTCCAGCATACAACAATCTGTCTGTTGTGCAATTGCTGTAGAGAAGCTGAGTTGCACCAATTATTTGGAAAACCAATCATCATATCAAATAAATCAAGGATCTTAAATACAAGACAAAAACCAGAAGTAATGTCCTGATTATATATTTAGAAATCATTATTGGTATAATAATACTCATGATGATGTGTATAAAAATCACAGTCATCTGAAGGAAGGCATTTCACCACATGTAAGCTTTTATGTAGCATGTCAAAGCACACAAAAAAAACCTATTTGATAGAGGTTTTCAAGAGCCTCTGAAGCTACATGAGGGGAACAAAGGATTTGGGGAAATTCAAACACTGTAGAACTCCTACACTGTGTGGCGTAGGCTGAGCCGGAGAGAGGATGAGATTCCACCAATGAAATAAAGATGAAACTCGAGTGCGGTGAAGCTGCCCTCAACCTACAAAAATGAAGTTCAAAAAAGCTGCTAAAGCTTGAATGTTCTCGTTCTCGTTTACCGTCTTGCGAGTCAGAATCAAATTCGATAAAGCAGTTCGTATTTCAGCAGATGAGAATTGGGACTTGTCGGTTCGATATTGTGCGTCGAGAGTTGAATTGAGTACATCCATTCCATATTCACCAGTAGTAGGAGAGCAAAGTTGATAGATCATGCCTTTCACAGTATCTTCTTCCCATTTGAAGCCAACAGATTTAAGTCGTTCAAAGTCTTTATTCACTTGATTAACAAAAGTCATGAGATCCATCGTACCAGCATCAAATTTTCGTAACATGATTGATCGAAATACTACATATTGAGCTGTGCGACCACCTTGCTGAAATAAGTCCTCCAGGGTAGCCATCGCATCGTGAGCTAGATGTTTGCCGGCGATCATGTCCTTGAGTTCCTCACTGATAGTTGAGTTGATCACTCGACAAGCACATTTATTGATTGCCATTTCAATGTTGGAGTTCTCGTCAGGTCCCCCCGCAGTCCAGTAATCAGCAATGTCGGTCATATCGTATATAGCTGTGGCTGTACGTAATTTCCATCTTGCAAGGTTGCTGCCATCCAATTCAAGTTTTTCGATACCGGTGATAAATTTGTTTACGTCTTTATGATTGTCGAGGAGTGATTTTAAACGGTCCGGTGCGTGATTAGAGTCCGTCATCGTGAACGTATTTTCGATTTCGTTTTCGTCGGTCAAATCTTGAGTACGATTTTGATACAAGTTTTGATACAAGTTACGTGTGGTGATGTTGGATTTAGCGTGTTGAGCGAAGAAAGGGTCTGAAGGTGGTTGATTTAATAGGAAATTCGAAGGAGGGGGTTGGATGAAGATATTCTTAGGAGTACTTGGGTTGGATGCTGGAGTAGCTTCTCGAGTTATGGTCTGTCGTTCTTCAGGATTGATCGATTCCGATCGCGAACGAGACTGTGATCGAGTTGTAGCTCCTATCTGCGACGTGGATTGCGACTTATTAGGTGGAGTTCGAGGTATTGACATAAGTTCGGATGCCGATGGCGGTCGGTCTTACTCTATGAGCGTCAGCGAGATTTTCGAAAGAAAAAAAACGTTTTAAAAAGTAGCGCTGCTCATAACCTATAATGAATAGGACGATAGGTCCGTCAGTTCTCTCTCCAAGGAGTCGGCTTCCACACAGTTGATGATGTATTACCTATAATGAATAGGACGATAGGTCCGTCAGTTCTCTCTCCAAGGAGTCGGCTTCCACACAGTTGATGATGTGGAAGCTTCCGCCGAGGTTCGGAGACTAAATCTACTACAAGTCTCGTGCCTGGCTGAGGCGCCGTCATGCACGCACACACCTCTCTACAACAATCTTATGATACTGATTCAATTAGGGTGTTCAAACCTGTGCAAGAAATGTGCAAGACCGACGTGCAAGATCCGTGCAAGATCCGTGCAAGATTTTTTGCACTAATCTTGCACAGTAATTTTTTTGACAACCCGAGTTATTGTGTTCCAAACCGTGCAAAAACCGTGCGAGACCGACTCTTGCAAGTTTTGTGCAAGATCCGTGCAAGTTCTATTCATATCTTGCACAGAACTTGCACAAAACTTGCATGAATTGATTTTGAGGTTTGAACACCCTAAATGTTCTTTTTAATTTGATTCCCTTCTTCTGTACCTTTTCAGATTTAATTTACTCTTGGTCCGATTAATTTGAATTTTGACTTCATCCCCTGATCACCTCAAACTACTTCCTACCAACTTCTATCTCATCTCTCTTTCGATTCTGACCATTCATTTCAATTTCAACTTCAATCAGTCTAGATCACGCCCTCTATCCACCTCAATCTTCATTGTCTTAATCTCGATCTCCACCTCCCTTTTCAACTACAATCTTAATCAAGCTTCAATGCAATTTCGATCTTGAGCTCTTATCTTGATCTTGATAAGTCTTTTGTTACTTTCTCCACTCTCTTACACATTACTGACAGCTTATATTGTTTCTTTCTTAATCTAGGATTCAATTTTGAAGTTAGTATGGGTTGTTTAAGATTGATCGATATCAAATTCGATTTTAGGCCTTCTTAATCAATATGTGTAAGTTTCATTCTCATTCTATTCTATCATTTAAACTGACATCATCAATCTCCTTCTCCACTCTCCCTTCTTGATCTGCTTAGTGTTTAGCTGCATAACTCCCAATTTCGATTCTTGGCTTCTTTTCTTGTAGATCAATTGTTTGGTCTTGCTTGATTTATTATGTAAGTGTTCTTTTTTCTTTCTTCATTCCTGCATTCAATCAATGTTGATAATTTTCGATTCTGACCCCCTTTTCTAAGGTATGTATTTCATTCTTCTTCTAATTCATTTGTTTTTTTTAATATCACTGTGTATTCCTTCCTTTATGTCTGATTTGTTATGATTATATATATACACTCATGTCATTTTATGCGTATATGTATGTATATTCACTGTATGAGTTTTACTTTTGTATCTATTTGATTTCCTTGATAATGAAATGTAGAGAAATGCATAACAATGATAATGTGAAGTGTTCTGATTATTTTGCCCGCGTGACCCACACTTCCATGATATATTAAAATTATGATACATGATTGAGATGTAATCATAGGAATTGCTTTCCACAACACCTGATGATATGTTTGATCTCAGTCCATCATGCCCTCTGGTTGATCATAATTCAAATTGACAAAATTTGAAGGGTTCACATATTGCAGTTTTATACAAAGCCCAGATTGATTAATGTGTTGAGAACCAAACCACCATGAAGTCAGACTTGTTGAGATTGTTCCATTGAGGCTACTCTGGGTACATCTGAAAATATATGTCTTAGTGCTTTGTTTGGTTCTCTGGTTATCTGAGCCATTTAGCAAGAAACCCTACATCATGCACCATGATACATGACTTTTTTCTGTGTTTTATGAAAATGTTCCGGTGCTTTGAAATAACAGTTCTGATGATTTAACCTGTGATAGGATCTGATAATGCACTTAGTTAGATAATGGTCACTAGACACTATCCTGTTCTTATGACTAGACACTAACCTGTCATGATAGGATTCTATATATGAGTATAGCACACACAATTCAATTCATGAGCTGGTGATCTCAACAAAAGGTAAAGTTCTCTTTCTGATCATACTTAATGATTGATTCAATTGAACACCAACATTTTACTTCTATGATTGTGAAATTTGGACCAGAGTGGTGAGTGTATGGGTAAGTAAGACATGAAAAAA